AAGCGTTAAACAATTAAAACTCCACTGTAAAACGATGCACAATGTTCTCTGCGTCCCCATCTTCAAGAATTCGCGTTCCTCGTATCTCCGCGCTCGTGCTCCGGCGTTCCTGCATCTACGATACAGAATGCACTGGAAGCCGAGAACATTTTCCCAGCATTTCCACCGAAACAGACTCGACACTCCCTTTCCCGAGCTTTCCTCGGCACCGGTGCCTCGAAGAAAGCCATATTCTACATCCCCGAGCCGACAGCTTTCGTTCCGGCTGGAAGGACGCCGTTTACCATTTACCGCGAACCCTAACTGCGATCGATCTCGCCGAGACCCCACGAAGGATTGCCTATACTCCTTGACCGGGATTTCCGGTCGATTCGCGTCGCAAGTCGTTCGCGAGCGATGCTGCTGGAATCCTATCGCGTTGGCACGATGATCAAGGAATTCGAAGAACAGACCTTTCCGTACGCGTTGTTAAGATCGCTGTAATTTTTGCCCGATTTTCTTATCTCGTTCGAGCATACATGATAATTGATACATTGGTTAACCCTTTGCACTTGGAACTATCTTAACCGTAAATTCAAGATAGTTTTTCTGACCTTTCCGATCCTTATTTCCATTTTATATGTTAGTGCAAGTTATAAGTATAAAATCGGGTCTTGCAACTCATACAGCAATTACCCTTTTAACAGTCTCTTGAACGAACGTGATAATGTGAACATTATTTTGTAACGTGATACAACAACTTTTAGCGAAAGTGTCGCTACTCGAGTGTAAAGGATTAATAATACTTTGCACTCGGATGTCGCCGATACGGCAACATTAAATTATTATTATTTTGTTAATACTGTGAGGTAAAATACGTAAATAAAAGCAGAGAATCTTTTATGTATCGATTTCTGTTCAGTTTCACGGCAGTGTAATGATTTTTATTTTTTAATTATTATCGTTTTCATACGGTACAAGTGAAATATGGAGATTTTTATGTGAATAAAAATAGTAAGTCTTTTATTTATTAATTCCTATAAAATTGCACAGCACGAAATTATATCATGATTAATATCATGATTTTTGTCTCGATTCGCCATTTAGTACATGATAATAAAAAATACGAATTGATAGGTGTATTTTTTTAATCTTCCGATCGCAAAGAGTTAAAAATGATACTTAACACTAAACCTACCAAGCAGTAATACTAACTGGCATGTACTGCTTCACAAAAGTGAGAAGACCGAATTTATTTGGAATTTGTAAAGTTTTTATTATAAAACTTGCTCCAATAATATATCTTATTCAAGCGTTTTCCACGAAAGAGTCTCGGAACTTTGCAGAATTGCAAAATAAGGAAGCGGTCACTTTGAGCGCGGTAGGTTTAGTGTTAAAACGGTGTCGTTTTAAGTATCCAACTAAAACTGGTACCATATTATTGTTTAAACAAGATGTATAGAAGACGTAGTTGAATAGAGATAATGTTCCTAGCATGAACGTATTTTTAGCCTACGCTTCCTTCATAGTTTTAGCATCGATGTATCCGAAATACATAGTATTAGGAATGGGTAAAAATGATCGACGGTGATCCGATAGAATTCCTTCAAAGTCAGTTCGGACCTCTAAGATCGTCGCACGAATAGGATAAATTTGCAAGCCACAGCGTCCGACAGCAATCACCGCCCCGCGGAGCATAGTTTCCCGCCGATTCCGATCGAGAGCCGCAACATCCGGTTGTCCCGGCGGACTTCCATCCTGTTGGACCCAGCGCTCGTTTCGCTCCCGGACGTTTCACGCGAAATAACCTCGGCTCGTAAACCACCCCTCCGTCATCTTATTCCAGCCGAAATGGAGAACGCGAGCCGGCGAACGGAGACGGAATCGTACGCGGAACACGTGTGGAACGTGTGTCAGCTACGCGACACCAGCGAGATTTCCACCACCGACGCACTCTATCTATCCCTCCATCTCGCCGTCCCTCTATCTCTCCATCTCCCCGTCCCGCTATCTCTCGGTCGCCCCATCTCTGCGTCACCCGCTCCTCCCCGCGCCCCTCTGTTGACGGCATTTCATTCGTATTCCGACAGCGTGTCCCGGCCGCTTTTCCATCAACGTTGTTAACCGTCCGACCGGGACACTCGGCACCCACGAATGAAATAAAAACCAGCGTGAGAAACACCGACACGATTTTTTTATGGATACTTGATGCTTCACAGGCGACGCGAGGATTTTTCAACTGCCGGCATGACACCGTGTCCGGCGAAATTTCTGTCCGAGGATTTGCTCGGTCGTGGCTACAGAAATCGGGGCTGGAGGTGCTTGCGTTATCGATGACTTACTTAACCCCCTTGCTCTACGATTTCTTTCACGTCCGCTACGATCATCCTCGATTCGTCTCCGATCAATTTGTTAGACGAGAACGAAAATTTATATTTATTTATCGTATGGTAACCTTCGTTTGTCTCGAAATCGTTTTTCTTACGTTTGCCAGAGACGAATATCGATGAGAATGATCGTAGCAATTTGAAGATTTCAAAGGACCTAGCCGATTGAGATGGTCAAAATTGCCCTTAGAGGTTTTTTTAAGGGCAATTTCAATTTTTTAATCTTCAATTTCTATTTCTTAATGTCTCGGGGTGGTGACATCGCTTGAGAGAAACTTCTAAAAAGGGTCTAGCCGATTAAGATGATCGAAATTTCCCGATTGTAATAGTCATTAAAAAACCTCTGAGGGGTTATAATAGTGATCAGAAAACCTCTAAGGGCAATTTTGACCACCTTAATCGGCTAGGCCCATTTGTAAGTATTTCTTAAGGGATGATGCCACCCCGAGACGTTAACAAATATAAATTGAAGAATAAGAAATTGAAATTAAGAATAGAAATTGAAGATTTTGTCGTATAATAGTGTCGTATAATAGTGATCGGAAAACCTCTAAGGGCAATTTTGGCCACCTTAATCGGCTAGGCCCTATTTGCAAGTATTTCTTAAGGGATGATACCACCCCGAGACGTTAACAAATATAAATTGAAGAATAAGAAATTGAAATTAAGAACAGAAATTGAAAACTTTGTCGCGGGTAATTACTAAATAAAAGATTCAGTGTTTCAAAGAGAATGAAAACGTAACTTTCAGCGTCGTGTTACTGTTTTTTAAAAGTAAGAACCGTATAAAATGGCGAAGTTGAAAAATGTAGTTTCGAGGGAAATGTAAAAAATGTTTCACGACAACTTTTCTCTCTGATAAGGCAAGATTTCTTCAACTTCGCCTTCAGTCGCTCGAATTTCGAAATAGCGTTTTTACACAACGTTCTACGCATTCGAAACTTTAAGAAAATCGAAACAGAAGAGAACGACATTTTCGAAGCGTCAGGGCGGTGTTCCGCAACGAAGATCCTCCGGACGTTATTATTCCAACAGGATTCTCCCTCTCGCGAATTTCTATTCGCCGCGTGTGTGGCGCCTTCTTGTGCCGCGCGGCAGGTCTTTTCGCCCCGGTTCAAGGGTCTTCTAACAGAGTTGCCGCGCACTAAAGATTTTCCCGACCCTTCCGCGCCCTTCTTCCAGCTCGCCGCTGCTCTATTCTAGCACTTAGACAAGCTGCAGTGGCATTAACCTAGAAAAGCTTCGGTTTGATCGTGCCGAAGCGAGCGTACCCGACTGTCTGTCACGTTGATCCCTGTTTTCTCGAAAACGCCATTATTTCCCGACGTCCGGCGCATCGATTATCCACTACGAAACGTTTTCGCTTCGTCGGAGGACCGTCCGGGAGGGACCCACTCGTCGCGCCGAGGGAAACTCTTTGTAAAGCGCGATCTATTGTTCATTATTTAACCTCCAAGGATCCTCTGCTAATACTCTCGCCGATTCCACTGTGCTGCTAATAATTGCAATTTCGTTCGCTCGAGAAATTCCGTGATCTTTCCGTTCAAAGACTTGCGCCACTTGCTGGGAGAACTTCTGTACAATTGTCTGTAATCGTTCGGACGCGACTTGGTTGCAAACGATACTCAATGGTCACTGAGGAAATATTGTCAATATATTCTGTTTGATGGAAGAGTTTGGCAATTTGTTGACCGGTAGGAAAACTGATCTCTGTTGCAACTTTGCCGTTATAATATAAAGAGTTTTATTATTTAATAATAATAATTTACTATTATTATTAGTAGTAGTAGTAGTAGTAATAGTAGTAATATCTCTTTAGTAAAATTTATCATATAATATTATAATAACCTTATTATATTGATATTAATATATAATATAAAATATAATTTTATATTATAATATTATATGATATAAAATTATATTTTATATTATATATTATTATTGCAATATTATATATTAATTATATATTAATTTTATATTATAATATTGTATGATATAAAATTATATTTTATATTATATATTAATTACAATACAATAAAGTTATGTAAGGTTATTAAGGTTTGTCGGCGATGGTTAAACAATAGCACGAGAGTAAGATAAAAGATGCTAGAGAGAACTTAGCTTTCTCGTATCGCATTCGCGATATAACGTTAAAAATCGAGAAGTGACTCATAAAAGAAATCCAAAGGGTTATACTAACGGTTAGCATTTCTCCGTATCAGATTTAGGCAATTAACAAACGTAGTCCTACGAGTCGAAATAAAAAAATGCGAACGGTTTCTAAGGGAGTATGTAAGAATGTGTACGCTCGGACCTCGGCCGTCCGAAGTTCAGCATCTGCAACGTTTTCAAAGTGCGGCGTTCTGCAACAGTTTTCACGAGCCACTCCGTAATCGCACAGCGATGGTAGACCGAGAAAGTTCTGAAGAGAGGCCAGTTAGCGTATCCGACCTAACGATCCCGGCTGTATAGAGTTAATCGTGGACAATGGCTCTGAATCACCGCGGCAGAATCGCCGCGAAGGTGATCATCGTCGAGGGCGGTGTCTGGGGTCGCGGCGAAGAGGGTTGAACGGGGATCGGAGCGGGCCGCAGTCGGGAATAATTAGTGAAAAGTGGTCTGTCATTTTTGCAGCTCCGGAAGCCAGTGTCGACTCTCTCGATCCCGGGGGCGATGAAGAACAGCGGCGGTATGGGTGGCGCCGGGGGTGGCGGCGGGGGCGCCGGCGGAGGTAGTGCTGCCGGAGCAGGCGAGGACGCCGGGATCGCCCTCGTCGGCGTCCACTCGGAGTACCCGGGTGGTGGCGGGCCCGTCAAGGGCCCGTCGGGAAGCATCGGGCCGGGATCCAAGCACAAACCGAACGTCGGTTACCGGCTGGGCAGACGGAAGGCCCTGTTCGAGAAGCGGAAACGCATCAGCGACTACGCGCTCGTCATGAGCATGTTCGGCATCATCGTCATGGTCATCGAGAACGAACTGTCCAGCGCCGGTGTCTACACGAAGGTGAGTCCTGGATACCTTCATTTTGCACCGTAGATCGGTCGTCTCTTAATGTCCGGACGCTCTTTATGACGCGACAACAATTGCTGAATTCAGCGAAAATATTACTTTATTAATTTCCAATGACCAAATTATTATTGGTATAATAGAACTTGAAATGCCTTTTTCTTTGAATTCGTTGTTTACACATATCTCAATATTGAATTAGAGCAGCGATAGTAAAGATAGAAATTGAAGTTATTCATAATTGCACAGTATAATATTTTAATTAGTTGGAAATGCTATGAGCCAACGGTAAATGACGATACATTCCTTACAGGAATTCTTGATAAAATATTACGGCATTATACAGAATGTCCAAAAATTATTGTGCAAGCGAGAAATGAGGGGTTCCTGAGATCATTTGAAGTAATCTTTTCCTCAGCAAAAATGCAATCCGCGGCTTCGTTTACGAGTTATTAACGAAAATCTGTGACCAATAAGAGACGAGATCAGCTAGCTGGCGCGAGACGGCTGAACCAATGAGCGCAACTAGGCTTTGCGCGCTCGACCGCTTTGCGCTAGCTAATCTCGTCTCTCATTGGTCACCGTTATTCGTTAATAACTCGTAAACGAAACCTCGGATTACATTTTCGCTGAGGAAAAAGTTACTTCAAATGACCTCAGGAACTTCACATTTCTCGCTTGTACAATAATTTTTGGACACTCCGAAGACAATGGCTTCGAACTTGAGCGAGCCATTTCATCGACAAAAAGCAATCTATCTTTGTCAAAACAGCTTCTTATTTTCTATAAAAACGTTCGACAGAGGATTCTTTACGAAAGAAATAATGGGCAGTCTATTGCTTCTCGCAAAACATTTGACGCGTCTTTTCTCACGGGTATATTGGAGTATTTTTGTTATCAATTGTCACAGAGAGACAAAGTATAGTGTACGAAAACAGCGTTTCGAGTTGGGGCTAGCAAATTACGCTTTGGATAAAAGGACGATTATTCGGCGGCGACCAAAGTCGATGAAAGCGAGGTAGAGGGACAGATGAAAAGAAACATAAGCAGCGCATAATTATTCCGTAGAATTATGCGGAACGGAAGAATACCGATTTCACGAGGCGCCAAGCTCACGTTCTTGGCAGCCGGAGTCCGGATCCCGCGTTCCCGGTCAAACTTTTAATGCCTTACATCGTAGAGCAACAAAAGCGAGCATCGACTTTTCATCAGCCGGTTTAATTGATTCAGCCAGGAAGCTCCGGGCGTGTTCAGTTTCCATCTCGGGGCCGGGTTAGCGTGGAGAACGACGGCGTTTCTTATGCAAATCGGTAGCCCGCCGGAACTTTTCAAAGTCAAACCCCGGCCCGCGGGTATTAACGAGCGCGACCGACGACGCTCGACCCGCGACACCGTTGCCATGCATTCCCTCGAATGTCACGTGACTCGATCGGTGACGTCACGGATCAGCAGTCGAGCGGAGTAGGGGTAGGGGACATGGTTGTCATGCCATGGTTGCCAAACGCTGTCGCGTTTTTTATTGGTCGCGTCGCACAGTGCGGCCGTCGATGGACAAAAGTGAAAAAAGTACTGCTTCGTACATATCCTACACTATTTGTTCCAAAAATTCAGCAGGAGATTACTTCCAAATGAGTTCTCCGAGCGAATGTTAGAGAGATCAAATTGTACGTTAGTTCGCAATGCGCTTTGTTTACATTGTCTTATGAATAAACCTTGTAAGATTGCAATTAATCTACAGAAATTTTATAATACTTATATGCAGTGTAATAATTGTCCCGAAATGAAATAATTAAGTTCGGTTTATTCTTCTACACTTTAGATAAGGTTTGCAAAAATGGCTTAGAATATCCTGGGCTCCTTACTTCAACATATTCATTGGATGGTACATTTCGATATTATAGAAACAATTTTTGCGAAAAGTTGCGATCTTCCGAGTTATTTAACAAAATACGTAGCGATAATCGTTCTCAAAACCATAATGAAAAACTCTTTCGAACAAAAGTTACTCAGTACTCGACTAACAATAAATTATGTTAATGAAAATCTGCATAGAAGTTTTTATTCGATAAAAAATGAAGGTGACAAACATTTTTTCTATGAAATCATATAATTTTGTTACAGCAAATCAATGCATCTTTGTATTTTCTTTGACAAATTATTAAGGTATTTTGCTAAAAACAATTTAGCTTAAAAATTATGATTGACAAATGTTCATACAAACGTCGCACTGTGCCTCGCGTCGATCGACTACGCTACCATTTACCCCCCCTCTGCTGAGCTGCTCATCCGTGACGTCATCGATGAATGTCACGCGACATTCGAGAGAATGCACGGCAACAGTGCCCGCGAATCGCGATAGATAGATCATCGCTGCCATCGCATCAACGAGACGTCGCGGCGCTTAATGACGCGTAGGGACAGCGACGATCGCCATTGCTATCGGCTCGCTCCGATATCACCCGGCGATGGAACTCGCCCGATAAAAGTTCGCACACGTGATTCCGATGCAAATGCACGGGGACACCGGCGCTGGTTTACGTGCGCCGTTGCGCATAATTCTCGCATGCAAATCGAACCCGATTCGTTGCAGCCGGACCCCACGGACCCGATTTTCTGGCAACCGAGATACCGACTGGGATACGCGTTATCGTCGTAATTACCCGACACCCGTAAATTCCTTCCAACGAGAACACGCTTCTAATAAACTTGCACTTTCTACATGGAAATTTTCAATCCGGAAATTCGTTCTGCAGCTTCGTATCATTTCACTGGAATCTTTACGACGGGAGTCAATAAGAGACAAACAAAACCCAGATCTTTTCAATCTACTGCTGGGAACGAAAATCGATGTTTACTTCGCTACAGTTTGTGATCGTTCAGACAGAAAATGTTTCCGCCGGAGTGCGAAATTCTGTTCGCCCGACTCAGAGTTCAACGAAATTTTAACCGGGCGACGGATACGAGATTAGAGGGCTAGCGAATTAAATTTCATTCGACACTGGCGAAGAAGTGTCGAATCGAATACGAATTTATCTAGATTCAAATTTATTCGAATGAGGACACGTTTAAAATTCTATTCGAATTTTATTCGTAGGCTGTATTCGTATAAGAATTCATTTGTAGATTGTATTCGAATATGAATTCATTCGAATAAGAATTCATTCGAATAAGAATTCATTCGAATAAGAATTCATTCGAATAAGGATTCATTCGAACAAGAATTCATTCGAATAAGAATTCATTCGAATAAGGATTCATTTGAATAAGAATTCATTCGAATAAGAATTCATTCGAATAAGGATTCATTCGAATAAGAATTCTTTCGAATAAGAATTCATTCGAACAAGAATTTATTCGAATAAGAATTCATTCGAATAAAAATTTATTCGTAGATTTTATTTGCATAAGAATTTATTTGAATAAGGATTTATTCAAATAAAAATTCATTCGTAGATTTGATTTGAATAAGAATTTATTTGAATAAGAATTTATTCAAATAAAAATTTATTCGAATAAAAATTCGTTCGTAGATTTTATTTGAATAAGAATTTATTTAAATAACAATTTACTCGAATAAGAATTCATTCGAATAAAAATTCATTCGTAGATTTTATTCGAATAAGAATTCATTCAAAAGATGAAATTGAAGGAACCAAACATCATTTACTTTTCGAATGAATTTCTGTCGAATTCGATTTCCGGGCCAAGGATGGAACGGGATCGCGGCTACCCTAAAAAATGGAACACGGGATCGTCAACTATGTTACAACAGGGATTTGCAATGTTCGTTGAAATATTCATATAATTGTTCAATATTTGGAGAACAGCCGGGGCTCGTTATATCGTAACAAGACGAACATTTTCCGCAAATATTTTCCCATGTAACAAGATGCATGATTCAGAAATGCTCGCGTCGAACGATGAATTCCGCCGTTTCTGTCCATCAATTCGACACGTTTTTCGAGCTGGCTGCCAGTTGGGGTGAGAGAGAGGGGGAGGGAGAGGATCGCCGCTGCATCGAACAGCATAAGATAAATTGTAGGAGATTCCGTTCGAGACTCGCTTTCTTCGCCGATTTTACCAAATGCGCAACCATGAGCGCCCAAATGCTCTTCGGAAAAATGTCAGCCTCGGAAAGAGGCTGGATCAAGTGATGCGAACTATTGAACTAGATGCATCATTGCAAGTGATGCGAACTATTGAACTAGATGCATCATTGCAAGTGGTGCGAACTATTTCTACTGTAATTCATTAATTTTGATAAATAGATACAGTTATTAATTTTGATAACTAGATTCAGTTATTAATTTTAGTAACTATATACAGTTATTAATTTTAATAACTAAATACAGTTATTAATTTTAGTAACTATATACAGTTATTAATTTTAATAACTAAATACAGTTATTAATTTTAGTAACTATATACAGTTATTAATTTTAATAACTAAATACAGTTATTAATTTAATTAATTAGATGCAGTCATGCAAAAATGCATGTATTACGTTGTAGGGAGATGTAAAATCAGAATCCAAGTAGACAGTTAAATCCTAGAAAGAGAATGGCAGTGACACGCGTTCCATTAAATAATTAAACGGATACCTTGCCGCCGAGAATGCGGCTGGTTGTTTTATAGGAAAATCTGGTGTAAGAGGATAGTGTGCAGGGTGTAAGTCCCCCCTTGTGTAACTGATCCTATACAACGGTACGGGTCTCGGCGGTGAAACCGCTGTGTCTTATATTTCGATGGCACATCCGAAGCTTCGGTCTCTGCGGCCGATAGAGGCTCTCAGGATACTTGGACTTTTTGCCAAGGCCTTCCGGCGATGGCGCGGCGCATAGACTTTGCACGTTATGCAAGGATTAGGATCACACCGGATGCCGGGCGTCTTCGTCGTAGTAACGTGATAAAAATAGGTCGGAGTGCTTTTACCCCCTCGGTTCCTGATAGAGATTAAAGGATAGAGCCGACGCGACGTTACCACCCGACCGGAATT